TTACCTGATATTGATCACTCGTAGTGCTTAAGTTAACTCTTGCATAACCAAAATGCTGCCATCATTTCCAAATATGGCACGTTTCATGACAGTGGTTGGAACTTTAAGTGATGGAAACTGCATCTTTGCTGTAGCCTTTGTGTTATCTGTTGAAAGTCTTGCTCTCTCTCACTTTGTCACAGCTTGACAGCTTCAGAATTGCCTCTATGTGCTCTTGAACAGTGTGTGCCACCAGGGGGTCCTAGGGAGACCTTATAAAATAAACATGCATACATTTTTTTAATCAGAAAATGTTCTTAAAAGTGTTTTTTAATCATTCTAGTAAAAGGCAAAATATTTTATTGAAATGCTATGAGACTAGCTCATCTTTCTGCCGGTCAAATTTATCAAGCTGCTTTGCTCTTCAAGCTAGCACAGCGTGTGCGGCTTAAGTTGAAAGGTATGATTCAGCATTTATCCTAAGCAAAAAGTTCTAAAATTTGATGTTTCTTTGCATATTTTGTAGCATCGTCTTGTGAAGGGGGTTCATCCTCAGAAGCTAATGCTGTTTTGAGAAACAAGAGTATGGGAACCCCCACTCTAGAAAATACTGCTTAAAATAGCTTCTGTCTCTCTTTGCTTCTGATTACTAACACTAAAAGTAACTGTTTTTCAGTCTTTTGCTGGTAGTAACAGCTTTTGATCTGCAAAGTGTTGCTATTGGTGTGATTTCCTAGCACTTATAAATGGCAGGACCACTATTGTATAGGACTGGGGGAACTTTTCAAGCTGATAATTACCCAATTTTGATTACTGGACAATTTTTCTGTGCATCTCTAAGGCAAATAATTAGTTCTCTTTGAATAAAGATAACGTGTTAAATGACAAAGGCACCACCCTGGGTGTGCTAATTAACTCCTCATAGAAGTTTTAGCAAAATTACATACGCATGTCAAGCTGTCTGCGGTGACACTATTACTTTTACAGCTTATTGAAAGACATAATAACCACAGGGATTTGCTGTACAAAGTCCACATTTCTATTAATAACCGCGGCGAAGGAAGCCTGCCCTCCATCATGGCTGACAGACAGTCACAGTTGATATTTAGCTCTGACTTAATGGAGTAAAAATCCTGGTTCTGTTACATGCACTGGCGTAACAGCTCTTTAAATATGGCCCTCCAGGTGATGAATGGCATGACAAGTTGCCTGTTAATACCATCTGGTCCCTCGTGAGAAATGATTGTGTTTCTAGATGAGGTGAGAAGAGCTGCTTTGTGCTGCTGGGATGTCGGCGAGATAATGTTTAACCGTGCTGTCAAAGTGGTGTCAAACTGTGAGCGGGGCTTTGCTTACAAACCGTTTGTCAGTGTTTAAAAATGTATTTCGCAAGAGTAAAATGACAAGACTGATACAATAATTACTTCCACCCCCCCCCCCCCAAATACAAAAGCCTTGGTGGTTTTAATCTTTTATTCGGCGCCGCTTTAATTAGCACAGCATGTGAGTAATCAAGTGTTTCCCTTGCACAGCAAAAAAAATGTCGCACCCAGCCTCCAGAATGTTTGAATGAATTTTTAACTCCCAAATCTACAGAGAAGGAAATCCTAAATCTGTGTGTGTGTGTGTGTGTGTGTGTGTGTGTGTCTGTGTATAGTCAGTTGCTGACACATGGACACCTGTTGGGATGGAAGGTGTCACACCATCTGCTAACTTTCCAACCTTGGAACAGATCATTTTGCTTCATTTGGTCTGAGTTTTTGTGGTTTTAGCTAGATGCTGATACATCAGCTAGCTGTGTCCAGCTACAGGCAGCTGTGGTGCCTACTGAGAGCGTTGGGATGTAAGGTCTGACTGTTTTAAAACACGCTGCACTTTGTCTACTTCAGCTCACACCAGTCAAACTGAACTGAATTAAATTCTCCCAGTATTTCTGTCATAAAGCTTAAACAGTTCCTCTCACGTCCATTTTAAGGTTTAAATAACAAGAAAAAGTCTGTGGTTACTTGTTTGTTCCAGAGAGCAGAGGGGGAAAACGGCTTTGGTCTGGCTTAAAAAACTGCTGACAAAACACTTCAGTTAGAAAATGTCTGCGTTTTAAAAAAGAAACCTTCAGCACTGTTTTTCTGTATCGGATTGGTATTGGTCAATACCAAACCTCTGATATCTGTATCGTATCGGAAGAGAAGAAAGTGGATCGGTGCATTCCTAGTTAGAGTGACGTCAAACAGGATAAAAATGGCGTGTTAGTTCCACAGTTGTTTTCTGCTCTTTATAGATGCACCACTGATGCATAGCATGATCCATAGTATCTCTTGATTAGTGGGTGTTCTCAATAGATACTCCTTCATTATCAGTATATATCGTTTTGAGTCGGTTCAGAACAACATGCACTGAGGCAGCCATCTTTGTGCGCCTGCTGGTGTTTGAGGGCAGAGACAGACAAACCAACCATTTATCTGGTGAAGTTCTTTCCAGTCTGACCCGACTGGTCGTGTCTAAACCACTGAACTGATATCTACCCTCCTTCAGAATTATAATTAAGCCAACACGTCCCAGTAGACTTTCCCTCACAGTTACCCACTTGAGTCTTTTCACTGAAGCAATTCATTGTTGAAAGAAATGAGTTGCAGGAAGGTTACCGAATATGTTTAAATTAAAAAAAAAGATGTCATTTCTACCCATCACAGTAAGTTCAAACATTAAATAACAAAAAAAAAAAAATCTCTCCCTCTCTCTATGCGTAATGACTTCACCTGAAGAAAAATAAAGTCTTAAAATGATCTAAGACGAGTCCAGAACCAAAGACTTGGAAAATCTGTGGGGGTCATCTGGACCGGGCTGTGGAAAAGAGAAGCTCTCATAATTTAGTTATATTTGGAGAACATGTGCAAAAGTTGAGAAGAAAACTGTTGCCAAGTCGAGATGTGGCATGTTGATAGACTCCTAAAAAAGAACACCAAGTGCTAAAATGGAATGTGCCTTAACAGAGTTTAGTCCAAGGGTATGCATACTTCACTAAGCAGGTTATTGTACCCTTGTTTATTCTGTTAATTTTTTTTTTCTTTTCAGGTGCATTCACTTCTCAGTTGAACTCTACTGGATAAATGTCACTTGGGAAGTGAAAGAAAAATACTTAGATTTGTCCTTTTGACAATGCATAAAACTGGCATTTTATCAGAGATGTTTCTACTTTCTCTACTTCGAATGAGTCCAACATTTCCAATGTCAGAATGAAAACAAACTAATAATCCTGACTTGGCTGCAGGTCTTTGCTGTGCTTCAACGTCAAACTGTGCTAATTGTGATGACGACGGCTGAAATCTCCACCAGGCTTGTTGCCGTCTCACAGGAAATGATGCATCCACCATAATTTGATTTATGTCTTCCACAGCAACGTCAGGTTTGAGGAAAGACAACAAGCTTCAGTCCTTACAGTAACTAAAACGGCACTTTGAAGTGAAAATATTTTTTTTCTGCCTGCATTTAGCATTCTCAGTGGATTTATTGGGGGACGAGGTAAAAAAAAAAACAAAAAAAAAACAACAACCCAGAGTGGGATATCACGCTGTGCTAAATTGTATTTGAATTCCTACAAGCAAACACTGGTTCAACCCGGACTGCAGCCGAATTATAAAAGGGCCGATTAGTTAAAGAGGGGAATTGCTTGGTCATAGTTGAACTGTGAAGCAACTATATTTTCTACAGTGTGCAATAAAGCAGCACTTCATATCATAAGCTCATTATATCTGAGCCATAAAGTGATTATGTTCTCCAGTACAGCATTGTTCTGCTGCTGACAGGATTAAAGATGACTTTAAAAGAAGAGGTTTAGCATTGCTGCGCTGCGCTCCAGTGTTTGCTTGCTTTCTGTAAGCCAGAAGTGAAAGGGGGCCGTGCACTTGACTGTTTGCCAGCTGCGGCACACCCACCGTCCTTTCTCTTAACTCATTTATCTCCTGCCAGTCTGGCTATCCGTCTACATGTGCCCGCTTTTGTTCTCGTTGGAAGGCAGCGCGGGCCGCTGCTTTTCACGGAGCCGTCAGCGCCACATCATTTCGAGGTTTCTGGGAAAATCCTTGAAACGTTGGAAGTCTGAATCTGACACGAGTTTTGCATTGATCTGTCTGTCACTTGATGTGAACGCAGGATTCTGATTGTGCTTTGTGAATTATTCCTTCCCCTTGAACTCTATGCTACTTATTTTTGGTCTAGTTTCTAATGCAGATATCCAAGTGCACTTGGAAGGAGGCAAAACTGGATATATTGTTTTAATTTTGATAGAAAGTTCCAGTTCTACTGGCAGATTGTTTCACTTATAACACAGGAACAATGTCTTGGTAAAAGTGAAATAACCTGCCTGTGGAACTAGGACTATTTCATCAGCATCAGCATTAAAAACAAGCTCCTACATCTTGCTGAAAAAATACTAGTAAGCTAATCTTGTCCTATTTTTAGAGTTCTAAGACATTTGCACTAGAAACTAGCCAAAAAATATGTGGTAACATTTTGTGGTTTTGCTGTGTTCAAATTTCGTCAAGTTTCGTCCACAAACCTCACTGTACAGTTTTGTGATATTTTTTTGTGTGCGTTTGTTTTGAATTATTTTGCACCCTGGAGTAACATTCAATGCAATCAATTACCTTCAGTAGTCGGCTTATTATTAGTCTATTTGGGCAATTGGAGTCACTTTGTTTCTCTAAACTTAGCTTCTAGTGTTTTGGGATATGTCTCTATCAGCTTAACACATTTAAAGACAGAATCTTTTTGCCTTTTCTTCGTTATAAAATTACTCAGTCTCAGTCGGATTGAACGGAGAACATCTGTGAACATCAATGTTCACAACTTAACAGACTGGAAAGTGAACATTGTCTTGTATAAAATCCTGTAACAAATATATGTGAGGCTATTTTGTTTATGCCCTACTCATGCCGTTTATATAGTTTTAAATTCTGGATGCACGAACACACGTAGCACGAGCATCTGCAGAAGTCTGACCGTGAGATCTTCTTTGTCCGTAGAAGAAGACCGGTGTCATGAAGAAGGAGACGAAGGAGTGGTGGAAGGAGAAGAAGACGGCAAAGCGGCAAAAGCAGGAAGACGAGGACAAGGAGGAGGAGGAGGAGAATGTCCAGCCGGCAGTGGACCCTCTGGAGAACGGCTTCCTGCACCACGCCCAGCGGGAGCAGGAGAGGATGAACGAGAGGCTGCTGAAGAAGACGTACTCCAAGAAGAACAAAACGGTAAGCGTCTACTTCTGGGTTGTATGGCTCCAGTCTGGCCCACTTGAACAGAGGCCAGGCAAGGTCTAAAGTGTTGGCTGTGGGTAGAGGAGAGGTCTGACGGGGAGAGAGTGTTGCCTTTTTTTATTTTTAACCCTTTAAGATTTATGAGTGAATTTACTGACCTTTCACTCTTTGCTGTCTTATGTGACTCTTTAGTAGGATGTTTCGTCAGTAGTTGTTGCAAGGATGTTATATCACATTTCTGGTTTGCAATCTGCAGACTTTTTTTATTTGATGGGTGCTTGTGCTTACATTTTCTGGAGTGGTCAGTAAGGTCAGTATGTTGAATAAACCATCTTTCTTTGCAATTTAAAGTTCCATTTACTTTCAGGTGAACTTTCACACTTGTGTTCAGTTACTGGCAGTTTTTAACAGGCTGTCAACAAATATAGCCATATATGTTATATTTATCCCTATCAACTTTGATCAGCTTCCCTATTCAATGGAAAGCATCCCCCACAGCATGATGCGTCCACTGCCATGTCTCACAGTGGGGTTGCTTTGTTCAGGATGTTAGTTTTCAGTCATCGTTAGTGTTTCCTATGTTGACTAAAAAAGATTCTGGTCACATCTGACCACAGCACCTTAGTCCATATGTTTGCTATGTTCCCTACATGGCTTGTAGAAAACCTTAAATACAGTGCACCCCAAATACTGCGGTTCAGTATTTGCAGATTCAATTACTCACAGATATGTACTGTGGAGTTTAACTCCAAATTATTCACACAAAATTTGCCTGTTTGCTGATCTTTTGTAGAGCATATGAAAAAAATCCAGCTTGGAAAACTGAATTACCTCAGTGCAATGCTAATTAACACTCTATTGGCTGGTGTTTGCTAAACAGCCAATCCCTGCAGACCAGTCATTTACTTTGGCACTGATTGGCTGTACCTTCAAGAGGAGCAATAAGGAAGAGTGCAGAGACGGTTTCCACTGTTCACATTCATTTATATTAAGGTATATTTGGTGTTTGATTTCTGAAAAATAAGCACTTATGTTTGTTTTTAGCGCTGGCCTCTAATACTTGTGGATTTTAAGCTATTCGTGGGCGGCCGTGGTACCCATCCCCCTGCAAACACTGGACATCCACCACACTTGTTATTGACTTTCTTTCAACAATGAACTTCCTCTGAAGTTCAAAGGGTACGAACATTTTTGACAGGCCTTGTAAATGTGTCCTGATAAAATGGGTGTTTTGGGAGTGTACTCCTCTGCTCATTTAACTTAATAAAACAAAAGAAGGAAACAGATGAGATTGACTGGACAGTCGCATTGATGGGGGGGAAATCAGGCACACAGCAGTTTTGTTCTGTCATTAAGAAGAACCCTGTAAAATGTTTGTTTACCGCTGAGCCACTGGCTTCCAGAACTGTTTGTCTTTCATGAACAAACTGATAGTTTGCTGCCTTCAGGTGGGTTTCCACTCCAATCCCATCCCTATTTTCCGTCCCTGCATAAGTGGCTTTCTGCTTGTGCCGATAGAGGACTGCCAATATCCTAAGCTTTAAGCACACTGCTGAGCCCACCAAGTCTGAGTCTGTCCCACTGAGATAGCTCATTTATGTGTTAACAGTTTGTTTAAATGGCGGATGTTTTTATGCTCTTGTCCGAAGCCAACATCCACTATAGGGCTGTTGAGGATAAGAGGGGAAACATAGTCAGGAAGCCAAAGCAAATAATGAGGCAATGTAGCCCAGAGGCCTCCACCACAGACGAAAATATCTCTCTCAGATAAGATTTCCTGAGGAAGTTAACATGGCTGAAAACGTGTTTTGGCTGTGATACTTAGTTTGCTGAGAAAGTATGCGTTTAACTTGCTGCTCTCTCATCCAGCGTGCAACGAAGCTTCAGCTACTGTAAAACCACAGCCCACTGCAACTTCTGCCATTCTGAATTTTATGTTTTAGAGTCACTTATGTTTTAGATGTAAACACGATCAAATAAAAGAATACTTGCTAAACAGTTCCTACAGGAATCCACTTAAAAAAAACTAAAAATGTCTTAATGTTTTTTGTCCCAAGTGGCCACCTGTACTTGTTTGTGGTTCGCTGTCATCTTCTGCACTTCTTACTTGGAGCTTTGTGTTTCCCATAAACCCAAGATTAGTAACTGTTTTTTATGCAAATTTTGAAGTATCACATTGGAAAAGGTTGATTGAAAAACAGCAAATTTTGAAATAGCTTCCTCAATTTTAAAAAAACAAATAAATAAATCACTCACTTGAGATGGTTTTTGGCTTTCCTGAAAAAAGAAAAGAAAAGAAGTTTGAAGCATATTTGCCGAATAATTTCTGGTAAAGTTAATTTTATTTATATAGCACATTTTCAGCAACAAGGCAATATAAAGTGCTTTACAGGATTTAAAACAAAAATAACAAACCAAAAGAAAGAGCAAAAGAAGAAAAGGCTAATAATGTTGATCCAAAGTAGATTAGCTAGATACTCCTATTCAGGGTTGGAAGATAAGTATAAGTAAGTGTCCTCTGGTCTAATTCTTTTTCTGGGTTGGAAGATTAGGAGTCTAAAAAGTATCTGCTAAGGTAGTTTTTCCATATTCCAAGTTCTAATCTCTGTTCTGGGTTGCTAGATAAGTGTAAGTAATGTCTGGATACTCCTACTCAGGGTTGGTAGATAAGTATAAGTAAGTGTCCTCTGGTTTAATTGTACACTTTCGAAAACAATTAAGAAAAAACAGGAATCCACACAGCAAGAAGCAGCACCGCAGAAAAGGATGTAGTAGGTATGCCAGTCCAACAGGTGGCACTGTAACACCTACAGAGAATGAAATAAAACACACAGAAAGATTCCCTGTTTGGTTGTTTTTTTTGTTTGTTTGTTTGTTTTGCGACTTAGGGCTCATGATGTATTGAGAGGGAGATGGAGCGATGACATCATCATTAAAATAAAATAAAAAAAAAAGACACGGCTTGAATGTACAATTGAAACATGAAATTGGCATCCTTAAATGTATCCACTTTAAAACCCGGTTGACAGACAGAAGGAAACACAGCTAGTGTACTTGAACAACTCGTCTATATAGCTGTCGGTGCTTTAGTATCTCTATCACAATTATTTTGTTCAAACTTACCTCAGAAATTGCTGACACCAAGATTTCCTCTGAGTACCAGTAGATCATATGACAAGTATCTACTATAGGTAAGAGCAGTGAGTATTGCTGATGGTAACTTCACTTAAAAACATCCAAGCTGTCCCTTCTACACCAGCTTGTAGTTCTGACTCGCAGCCTGGGAACAAGCTGCTTCGCTGTACTTTGTTTACAATATGTCGGCTAACTCAGGGTAACTGTTGATGTTAGTCTCACAACCACATTTCTGCATAGACTGTGATTGTTGAGGCGTACCAGCAGCTATGCAATGCTCATGTGAAGTAGAAAGCAACAAAATGCCACTGCAGGAAAAAAGTGCCTCTCATGAGTAATCATGCTGCATACCTAATGAATCAAATCTAGCATGAATTATTCATCTGCTAATCCAAATCTCAGCTGGAGTGTTTCTGTGTCAGGTTTCCTCCGTGCTGTGTGGGTTTTCTCCCAGTGCGTTGGTTCTGTACCGCAGTTCAAAAACTTGTTTTGTTGGATTAACCAAACACTGAAATGCTCATTCTTTCTGTCCCACTGCTGATAACTAACTGTAGTCCCCCAAGGCCCTGAACAGGGCTAGGCTTGTATGCGTCTAAGTAAGAAGGATCAAATAAGGAAACTAAGAAGGAACCAAGGAAGAAACTAAGAAGGAACCATGGAAGGGATGATGCAAAATAAGGAAGAAAGGGCTTCACTTGTATCTAAGGAAGGAATAATATAGGTTGGAAAGAAAGAAGACTCTAGGAAGGAAAGAAAGAAGGAATGATTTATGAAAGAAGGAAGAAACCAAGACCGAAAGAAGGAACAAAGGAAAAAAAAATAAGAAACGAAGGAAGCAGGAAGAAGGGAATTAGGAAGCTTGTATGTAACAAGGAAGAAGCAGTTTAAAATAAAGAACTAACAATGTAAGAACTAAACTAAGAAAGGAATGAACTAAAGGAGGAGGAAAGAAACTAAAGTAAAAAGGAAGGGGTTACATAAGAAAGCAATGAACTAAGGAAGAAAGGAAGTGAAAAAGAAAGTAAAACTAATAAAACCACTAAAAACAGAATAGAGGGACAAAAAAAAGGAATGAAGAAGCTGCAACATGAATGAAGGAACTACCTTTCATCTTGTGTCTGTGTCCAGAAGCGAATCCACGAGTCCTGTGTTGTTGTTTTCATTGTGATCTGTAGGAGAATCAAGTTACATCATATCCAGCAGCTTGTATTTGACCTTCAGCATGCTTTAAATGGGGATCATGAATAAAACATAGTGCTGACTTGTCCGTCCTTCAGCACAGTTGCTGTGTTTTTGCGCATAAGAAAGCACCTGTGGACATGGTTATTAGCTTGGACCTGATGCTTGCCTCGAGCTCTTCATCCTCTCACTTTCAGGCCGGCCTGCTATCACAGAGCCACCATTCCATGTGCCCTTTTCCTGCTGCAGCCGCCTCAAGATTACTTCCCCGAGTCTCATATCTAGGTGTGTTTATAAGGGCTAAGCCAACTGGAGTCTGATAAGATAAGCTGGGGCATTGACTGTGGAGCGGAGCATGGTTCAGGGCTAACCCGAGAGCCGCCGAGCACACAAACACCACTGACCTGCAGCGTTGTGTTGAGCAACTTTCACGTCAAATATATTTTTACTAGAGACGGACCGATAAGAGATTTAGTGTCCGATTTCTGATCTGCAGACTTATAAAGCTGCAGATATTTTTTTCATTTCTGATTTTTTTTTTTTTTTTTAGGTATTTTCACATATATAATCTATGATTTAATCTGAAAAATTCTCTTAACATAAAATAGTTTTATCATAAAATTTGAAATCAAAACATCGGTCTTTAGCTAAGAATCTAAAGAAATGCAGCATATTATTCTTCTAAATCAGAAAAGTCTGAACTCACTCATTTTTTTTATTGTTTTGCACATTTCGAAGGTAGATCTCTGAAGCTATTTCTACAAGATCCACTCAGTAAATGACAGCCCTGTTGTATGTAATGTTTGAGAGAAAAAAACAATTACATATTATGTCATTTTATCCATTCATATTAACAATAAAGAAGCTTAGAGGCTTACTGTCATGACTGAGCATAATTTAGTTTTGAACAATGTGTGTGTGTGAGGGGGAG